GTGTAGCCTCATACATAGACAAATAAAGCAAAACCCTCATCTTGCTTTCTTCTTTCGTTTTCCTCTAGAGGTAACCAGGGTTGAGAGCTCAAATTGTGTTTCCCAGACTTTCTGTGCACATACAAACACACGCTAGTCACCGTGGTGATGGTTGGGGGTGGGCGACGCGAGCCGATTTCCATGGTGTATATGCTCCCACTGTGGCCGATTTCAAGGTTCCGGCGTGAAGTCACTGAACCAGGTGGTGGGAAGAGACAGGCCCTAGCAACTCTTCCATAGCATTTCTACTGTGCAGACACAATAGATGGCCATTTCCCTCAAGAACACCGATGATAGTAAAATAGAAGGTAATTAGGAAGTGGTAAGCGTTGAGTATTTATTACCTTCAAAATATCATTTTTTGAATTGTAAGTTTATGTAATTAAATTTCTAATAACAGCTGTTTAACAACTGGTTCATGAAATTCTGGGAGATTTCAGAGTCCGCGCTCATTAGCCAGTGCAAGCCAGCTTCAGCACACCACTCATTTCCTTTTTCCTAAAATATTAACATTAGATCATTTTTTTTTCTTTAATTCACTTTTTCCTTAAAAGGCTCTTCAGCCAACCATTCATTCGTTCAGCCAGGATTCTATCCCGTGCCATGTGCTGTACGGAGGATCCGGGGCCAGGCCACCATCATGAACGGGTGCTTTGCCTTCACTAGCTTATGGTCCAGTGAGGGAGACAGTCAATGGCCAAGCTGACAAATGAACACCATCAATGTCAAAACTGCACCGTGCAATTAGGTCTCTAAAAGGAAGTGACAGGTGATGTCATAGAGATAATGCTGTGGGGGGCCGGCACGCAGAGGTCAGGAAGTGGCAAGGGAGAGCCTACTTTAGGTTCAGGTCAGGAAAAGCTTCTTCGGAGGAGGAGGTGACAGAAACTGAGACCCAAAAGATAAGAAGGGACCAGTCATGCAAAAGTCAGTGGGAAAAAGGTACAAAAGGATATGTTCACTGGGGTACCTGTGAATTGTACAAACCTGCAAAACCATTCTGTACATTGTTTCTAGAAAACTCCTTGTGTAGTAAAAATGGAAAGGCTCCCCACCAGCTTCATGATGGTGGTTAACCTTGGAGAGAGAGGGTGAAGTTGGAGGCAGAGACGGTCTTCAACTATGTCGAGGTGTTTTCTTGAAGCGAGCGAGGTGGGGGACGGATACGGCTGGAGGTCACTTTTGTTGGCGGCCACATTATTCTTTATAATTTCTGGATGTGTGAAAAATTTCGTGACTGTTAATTTTTTAAGAGTGGGGCAAAGAGGTCGTAGGCAGTGAACCATCCAGTGTAAAGCCTCACTGTCAGGTGCTGTGGCCGCAGCCCGTGAAGGGGAAGAGGGAGGCCCACGTCAGGGAGGGACGCAGGCACGGGCCTTGGAGGCTGTGACCACGGGGGCAGATCTTATTGTAAGTGCTGCAGGTGATCCTGGGTGAGTGACGTGAGGTGCTTTACATCCATAAAGATGACAGTCGCTGCTCGGAGAAGAACGTGGAGAGTCCAGAGCGCCATCAGGGGAGGGAGTTAGAGTCTCCTGTAGTTGTCCGGAAGAGACCTAATGGCTCAGACCAACATGGAAGCAGGACGCAGTGGAACCAGAGGGACAGTTTTGACATCTGATGGCAGGACTTGCTGAGAGATTGGATGGGATGGGGGGCGTTGAGAGAGCAAGGGATGAAGGGTAACTTTCTTTTTGTTTTTGTTTTTGTTTTTAACAGCTTTTTCAAGATATAATTTACGTACCATACAGTTCACCCATATGAAGCGTGCCATTCTTCGGTTTTTGGTAGTAGGAATGGCTTTCTTTTTGAAACCTGAGTAGATAGTGATTTCAGATACTGTAATGAGGACAGTAGGAGAGGAAGAGGTGTGGGGGTGGGGCCTGGGGGCGTACGTTGTGGGAGGTAAGTTTGAGGTGCCCCTGAGACAGCCAGGAAGGGAAGTCACATGGAAAGTCAGATATTATCAGCTGGGGCTTGAGGTGAAGATTGTGAGTAATGAACAAGTTGAGAGTCTGGAGGTAGATGTGAATATCCAGAGAAAGAATATGGGTAAAGAAGGTGTGTGTGGAGGGGGCAAAGGGGCTTCTAGTCCAGATGCGTTGAGAGTTCATGCTTTGACCAATCCTCACCCTTTTTTCCCCCAAACATTACAGTGCTAGTCAAAAAAAAAAAAAAAAAAAGACAAGCCCCCGCCCCAAGACCAGATCGCTAAAACTAATGAAGACAATGTTAAAAAGACAGCCTCTGAATATCAATGACAAGTGAATTCACTCTAAAATGAAAATTATATTCTGAAAATGAATTTAAAATAACTGTTTAGGATCCATATCAGGAATAGGTTTGACTGTGAGTAGCTGAGATTCTAAATAACAGTGGCTCAAGCTAAATGGGAGTTAAATTTTCTTTTATGAATACATTCTAGGCCTGGTGTTGTGGCTCTGTCCCACTAAGCCCTCAGGGAACCAAGCTCGACCCCAGCTCATCACTATCTCAGTGCTTGGATTATCCTCATAGTTTAAGTTGGTTGCTAGAACTCCAGCCATTACATCCGCATTCCAGTAGCATGGTGGAAAGGCATCTATCCGCTGTCTTTCGAAGAAGTTTTCAGGAGACTGACACATGACACTTCCACCTACATCCTATTGGCCAGAACGTAGCTAACAGAGAAACCAAGAAATGTATTCTGGGTTTTTTTAAAGTTTATTTATTTATTTATTTAGTAATCTCTACACCCAACACGGGCCTCTAACCCGTGACCCCAAAATCAAGAGTTGTATGCTCCCCTGACTGAGCCAGCCAGGCACCCCAAAATGTATTCTGCTCTTACAGGTAGCCAGGTGCCCAGTTATAATCCAGGAGTTCTGCTACCATGGACAAAGGAGATAGTAGATAATGAGGGATAGTTAGCAGTCTCAGCCTTAGGATCCTTGAAGAAATAAAAGAAGGATAACACGCATTAAAAAGAACAAAACAGTGGATTTTTGTTTGAATTTAAAACCTCTGCTCTTAGATATCATTAAGAGAATGAATAAACAAGCCTTAGATTAGGAGAAAGCATTCGTAAATCATATGTCTGATGGTGGACTGGATCCAAAATAATATTTTTAAAAAACTCTCAAAACTCAATAATAAGGAAAAAACAACCAATTTTAAAAATGAGCAAAGATTTGACTAGACTCTTCGCCAGAGAAGATATGCAGCTGACAAGTAACTGCACGAAAAGACACTCAACATCATTAGTCATCAGAGAAATAAAATTAAAGCCACAATGAGGTACTGCTTCATGCCTATCAGAATGGCTAAATGAAAAAGACTGTCCATACCAAGCATTGGCAAGGATGTGGACCAGCTGGTGCTGTTGTATGGGAATGTAAAATGTTGCAACCGCTTCGGAGAAACAGTCTAGCAGTTTCTTAAAAGCTACACATATACTTACCATGTGACCCAGCCATTCCACTGCAAGGTATCTGCCCACAGGAGATGTGCGTGTCTACAGAATGTCTTATAACTGGATTCTCTTAGCAGATTTACTTGTACTAGCTAAAAACTAGACAGAACCCAAATATCCATTAAGAAGTAGGTAAAAAAAGCAAATTGTGGCACATCCAAACAACGGAATACTGCTTCCCACTACAAAGGAATGAAGTCTGATACACACATCAATAGGGACAAATCTCAAGATAATTGTGCTGAGAGCATGGCTTCTATTTGATTTCATTTATATAAAATCCTAGAAAATACAAAGCAATTTATGGTTACAAGGAGAAGCTCACTGGTTGCCTGTGGACTGGGGATGGGAGGGATGGAGAGAGGCAGGAGGGGGAGATTCTGGGGCACAAGGAAACTTGGGGGGGAATGGATATGTTTGTTTTCTTGATTGTGGTGATGGGTATGTACAGTTGTCAAAGTTTATCAAATCGTACATTATATGTCAGTTATAGTTCAGTAATGCTGCTGGGAAAGGGAAACAGAAGGAACGTGACTTTGTGAAACAGCGAGGTGGAATGAAGAAAAGATGGATATGAAGATTGTGGGAATGAAAAATATTCATCGCATTAAAATTGCTTATTTAAAAACAAAGGAAGAACGTTAATACGTGGATAAATTCTCGACCGGACACAGTTAAAGAGAGAATTAGTGAACCGGAAGAGAGTTCTGAGGAATATTCTCAGAGCACTGCCCAGAAAAAGAGAGAAAAAAAATAGAAAAAGGTAGTTAAAAGACATGGGGGATAGTCCCAAATATGTTTAATAGAAGTTCTACACGAAGAGACTGGAGAAAATGACTGAGAAGCTGTACTCAAAAACGTAGGAGTTTCTCAGAATTTCCCAGAATGGAAGAAGAGATATGTCTTCACCAAGTAATATGCTCGTCGAGTAAAGAGAATTTTAAGGAAGTAAATACTCCACTTCAAAACCACAGAGGGAAATTGCATTAAATCAAAAATGAAGGGAAAGTCTTAAATTTTACCCTCGACAGCCTATCCACAAAAGAGTAACAGTAGCTTCCTGAACAGCCTGTGGTAGCCTTTTGGGCAATCTTCCAGGGGCTGAAAGAAAATTAAACAGTCTGCCTCAAACTCCATACCCAGCTGAACCCTGATTCAAGAGTGATGAGGAAATCAGGACATTTTACAGAAGAGAAGGGCGCAGCCCAGCCCTGCGGCGCTTGACCAGTTCAAGGTTGGGGAGAGGAGGAAGGCCCTCTCACGTGTGCTTGGTCATCCAGTGCTGGCCTCTATTTCTCACAGAAGCTAGAGGGAGAGAAGAAGGGCTGGATCTAACTTCCAGGTTTGCGATATGGGGCTCCTGGAAGTGCGGCTCGTCCACCATGTTGCTGGTCTTCTATTAGGACAGGAGAAGGAGATGGGATTCCAGGCCTCAGCTCGGTTTTCAGTCCTGCATCGTAGCAGGAGGGCAAGCCGAAGGGAGGGAGGCCCTGGCTTGGGGAGGAGTGCAGGGACACAAGAGCCTCTCGAGGGTGGCGCCTTCTAGACTCTCTCTCTGTCTTCCAGATTGTGGACAAGAATAACCACTACAAGTCCATAGATGGGTCAGACGAGACTAAAGCCAACTGGATGAGGTGAGTCCTGCTTTCTGCTGATTTCCTGGGAGCCTTGCCCAAACTCCGGAAAGGAAGCCAAGGGAGTGTGCTGGGGCCTATGAGGTCTCCAGTGGTGGAGGCCCCCGAAGGCCCCGGGACTGCTGTTTGCAGGGTTTGGGATGTGTGGAGCTCTGGGGGACCCTCTTGCTTCCCCAGCCTTCCATCGGGGGGCTCTGGAGGAGGCCTGTGGGTTACAGAGGGACCCCTAACGTCTGCACATTTGTCTCTGTGTCTGGAGTGCCCAGGGCCCCCAGCTCTGGGCAGCATTGCCCCCACGGAGGGGGCGTCCCTCCACCTGGGGCTCTGACCTCTCTCACGGGGCCGGCTCCTGCCGGAGGGGTGCAGGACTCATCCCAGTGCAGCTGCCAGCACTTGTTGAAGTGGCCCCGTGGAAAAGGAGGCTTCTGGCACAGTCCCTAGCTCAGTTTTTGATGGTACTTGCTGCCCGGGCATGAGTACTTTCAAGAGGGGTTTTACTGTCGTGCCGTGTTTGGGACAGAAGTTTGCACCAGGAGGATCCTTCCTGGCCAGCCAGAGAGAGCAGGAGACTGGCCCAGGGCTGCCCAGGGGTGGCTGGACTGAGCCTGGACCTGAGCACTCAGCCCACAGCTCTCCTTTTGGGTCTGTGCTGCTGGCCCGGGCAGGGGTGCCAGGGCCCTGCCCAGAGGGGTCTGTGCGCTGTGTGGGAGGTCAGGCTTGCACTGGCACGTCCTTGGTGCCCCTCTCTGGGCCCCAGAAGGGGTGACGGCGTGTGGATCTGGGCTGGGAGGGATAGGAGGGCCTCGGATGGGGCCCTCTGTGGGCGTTTGTGCGGTTCTGTGACCCGTGGTGGTGGGGGGATGCTGGAGAGGTTGTGCTCGGAGGGAGGGCAGTCAGGAACTTTCTAAGAGGGCGTTTGCTGTATTTCAACTCTGCCACCTTCCAAGCAAACGAGGAGAAGTTGGTTGGAGGTGGGGAGGCTATGGTGAGGTCTGCTGTTCCCTTCCCCGGGGCCTTCCTGCCCACCTGTGCTCCCCACCTGAGAGCTGCGGATGGGGGGCTGGGAGGGCGAGAGGGGCTTCGGCTTACACTCTCCAGAGCATGCTGGGATTTGTCCTCTTATTTGTCGGGGCGGCTCTTCTCACTGCCACTTAACAGGAGCAGAAGCAGAGGTGCCCAGGGACAGGTGGACCCCTCCCTCTAGCCCCCTTTCACATCATCTGGTGCGCTGGTGCCCTGCAGGGGCCTCCGAGAAGGCCACGGACACAGTCCTAACCGCCTTCAGCCCGACCACCCGGTGCCAGTCAGCTCGGCCCTTGTAAGTCCCCACCCACTTGCAGAGCCGACCGTGTAACGGGGTGCCCTCGATGGTCTGGCCCTCCCGGTCCTCCCAGGACTCCCACCTTCCACCGTGGAAATTGTTTTTTTTCAGCTGCAGTTGTCGAATGAAGGCACAGATAATGTGCTGCAAGGGCCCAGATGACAGAGCAGGGGGCCTTTGAGCTGGGCCCTCCCAGGGGCCAGGATTGCATTTGAGGGCACTGTGACCAGGGCCACAGAAGTGGGGACCGGACCACCGGCCTGGGCTTCTGTTCTCTGTGGCTCCCGCCTGGCTCTAGGCAAGCAAAGGAGAGTGCGTCTGAGTGCAGTCTGGCTTCAGGGCCTTTCTGCACCATTGCTTCCGAGGCTCCAGAAGCTTTGCAGGCCGAGCGGATTCTGTGCCTCGATGCCACCCATCTCTGATCTTTCACCCTGGGGACGAGGCTTTACCACAACCCTCGGGAAAGACATCATCTGAGCTAACTTAGCGATCATCTGACACCCCAGAGATTCTGACTGCATCGGGCCGAGGATGAGCCCACGGTATTGGTATTTCTAAAGCTCTCCGTAGCGAGTCTGACGTGCTGCTCTTGAGAGCCCCTCCTCTGTTCTGCCCTTCCTGCTACAGCGGTGACACCGAGGCCCAGAGCAGGGCAAGATCTTACGCTAGATCATGCCGTCAGGGGCGGAACCAGGACTGGAACCTGTCTCTGACTTCTGGGCCCATGTTCTTTCTGCTTGTGCACAAGGGCCCAGGCAAAAGCATGGCCTCCTGGGCTGTGGGTGGGGTGGGTTCTGCTTCTGCTGCCTTGCTGGCCTGGGGTCTGTCCTCGGCCCATCCTGTCCTGTCTGCCAGCCCCTTCTGATGCAAGATGGCCCCAGGGCAGTCACAGCTGCTGGGGCCCCTCTCATTCAACACTCAAGGAGTAGGTGGGGGTTGGGGGTGTGGTTTGTTGCCACGGAGATGTCCCTCTGGTGGTAGTTGGAGGGGAAAGCCAGTTCATGCTGGGAACCTGCCTTCCCCCTTAATGTATAGCTTCCTTTTGCGATAGCTCATTCCTGTGTGCAGACATCTTCTCTTGTACTGTGACAACTTAGGGTCTTGTGCGGGATTGGATGGAGTTGGTGAGTTTTTTCAAAAACTTAAGTGGTGGGCCGGGAAGAGAACGGGCATCAACGTAATGAGTGTTGACTTTACGGCATCCCTATGCTAGGGGCTCTGCATTCATGAGATCGGTGGTCTGAAACCAGGGGCTGTTTTGCCACTCACCATGTTGGGTGGTCACAGGTCTGCGAGTAAATGCCAAGGATGCTGAGAAACGTCGTATGTGGCCCGGGACGCCCCTTCCCACTCACAAAGAAGTTTCTAGCCCCAAATGCCAGTAGTGGTGAGACTGAAAAACCCCTCAGGAATTCCTCCTGGCAGCCCTGGCAGGTGGCTCTAGAATTAGCACCCTCATTTTATAGAGGGGGAGGCGGGTTTGCTCAGGAGACTCGGCGTCTAGCTCCAGGTCGCTCTGAGTGCGGGGCCCGGGCCCCTGGCACTGTCTTGGCTTGGTAACAAAGCCCCAGCCTTCCTTGACCCTGAGCCACGGTGCTCTGGGTAGGTGGGGTGGGGAGGTGAGGGCTGAAGGATCTTTGTGCCCCCTAGCCTCTTGCCGAGGTTAGGGGAGCAGCCGGAGGAGTGACTCGGGCTCCGGGTTTCCCCTCCGCACTTTGGGTTCCTCTCTTGGGTGGTTCTTGCTCAAGGTCTCAGTCAGTCAAGCAGACCCTGGCTACTCTGCCGATGGAAGCCAAGGTCACTCCTGGCCTCCGTCAGCGTGGAACTTGTCTCCCGGTGGGTGCTCAGGGACTGCTCACGTCCTACCCCTGAGCGGCCAAAAGGCCACAGCGGCCGACCCCAGAAGAGCTGCTGCTAGCCAGGACTGGAGTCGGAGGGGAGCCTCCACACACCCAGAGGTGGGGGCCTGGGGGGCACTTGGGAGCCAGAGAGGGAGACGAAGAGAGCCACAGGACAGAGTGAGCTTTCTGTGACCACACCCTAATCACGGGCGTCACCAGCGAGGCCACACACCGGGAAGCCCGCTGTAAATAGTCGCCCTGTTTAAATATTCTTCCTGTGAGCCATCTGTGAGGCAATGGCCTGCTCCCAACCCCAGTGAGGACCCTTTGTTCCTGCGGAGGGCTTTAAAGCTCTCGGACATCACTGCTTTTCCCTCCCTCGTAATGACCCCGAGGTCCGTGTGCTTGCTGCTCCTGACCCGGCCGGGGAGAGGGTTCTGGAAAAGGCTGAGTGCACAGCCTGGGCTCTCCCAGCTAGCCAGGGCTAAGGCAGGGCCTGCCACCGAAGGCGTCTGACTCGGGCCGCGCTCCCACCCACTACGCCGCACCCCTCCCGCCCTCCTGCCCTCCGAGGAGTAGGGGAAGGGGCCTCTCGCTAGGAGGAGGGTGTGGTGGTGGTGAGCGGGCGAGGGTGCCCAGGTGCCTCCTGGCTCCGCAGCTGGGGGCCGGCAATTAGGAAGGAGGAGGACCACCCGCCCTGATGGTCATTTACCCAATTGTGCTTTGTGGGATATTCAACCCAAGGAATGTGGCGCCCCTGGCCGAGCGCAAGAGGAAACCCAAGTTCTCCAAGGAGGAACTGGACATTCTGGTCACGGAGGTGACCCACCACGAAGCGGTTCTCTTTGGGAGGGAGACCATGCGGCTGTCCCATGCCGACAGGGACAAGATTTGGGAAGGCATAGCTCGGAAAATCACCTCCGTCAGCCAGGTCCCCCGCTCCGTCAAGGACATTAAGCACAGATGGGATGACATGAAACGAAGGACCAAGGACAAGCTGGCCTTCATGCAGCAGTCCCTGTCAGGCCCCGGGGCTGGGGGCCGGGCCCCCACCATCATGCTCACTGCCCACGAGAGGGCCATCGAGTCAACCCTGCTCACAGCCCGTTCCGGGCACAACTTCCCCAGGGCAGAACTGGATGGCACCGACAGCCCCTCGACCAGCTGTGAGTACCGCCGGCCTCCCCTCCCCGGGCCCCCGCTGCCTGCTCCCCGGCCTCCTCCTCCTCCTCGGCCATTGCCCCCTTCCCTCGCCTTCTCCTCTCTTCTGTCCTTCTCTGTCTCATCCAGTCTTGCCATGCACCCTTCCCTCCTTCTCCCGCTCTGTCTTCTCCGCCCCTTTCCGTTCATTCATTCTAGAATACTTCCTGAACTCTGTGCCAGGAGCTGTGCCGGGAGCTGGGAAGACAGAGTTGTATATATAAAACCTACACCGGCCCTGCTCTTCGGTCGTCCCTAGACTCGTGGGAATACACGAGCTTTAAGTCGTTGTGTGAGGACAGTCGTAAGGAAGGGCTGAAGGGTGGACGCAGGAGGTCCTGAGAGCGGCGCTGACTTCCTGGGTGCATGACCGTGGCCACCTGCACAGTGACCCTCGGGCTCTGCGCGCACAAGGGCACTGTCCCGGCTTTAACGAGTTGCTTTTGCCTTCCTGAAGTTCCTAATAGTCTTTGAACAAGGGGTCCTGCATTCAAATTTTGCATTTGGCCCTGCCAGTTCCGTAGCAGCCCTGTCTGAGGGCCAGGGGCTGAGGATGTGGCTCTCCCCGGGGAGTGGGGAGTGGAACTGAGAGGCGCAGGGTGAGTAAGAGTTAACCGGGCCTCAGCGTGGGGCTCGGGGAGGGGAGCGGGGAGCCTCCAGGCCCAGAACTGCATGTACAGAGGCCCTGCATCAGGAAGGCGCTTGGCACGTTCCAGGACAGAGAGGAGCCAGGGAAACCCAGTGTAGCAGGCGCGGGGGAGGGGGCGCGGGAGGAAGCCAGCCAAGTCTTCAGGGCCCAGGCCACAGTGGGCGGGGGGGGGGGGGGGGGGGGGGGGGGGGGCTGGGGCGATCAGTCCTTTCTTTCTCTCTCTCTTCCTAACGTCTTTACTTCTGTGTTCTTTTGCTGAGCTTCTGCGCCATGCTGCCCACTCCCACTCCTCACGGTCCTCTGCCTCTCTCTTCCCCGCTAAGGCTCTGGTGAGATCTGCCCGTCTCACCAGGTCCGCTCCCCGTCCCTACTGCCCCCACACCCCCTCCACGTCTCTCTGCCCCATTCTCCTGGGCTTCCTGTGTCCTGGGAGGGACTTGGATGCCAGGGGCCTGACTGCGGTCATCTCTGGGCCCAGCAGCCTATAGTTGGGGCTGTGGTTCAAGCTGGGGCTCCCCTGAGTGGGGGGGAGCAGTCAAGACCCTTCCGTGCTGGGGCTGCACCCCCTTCAGTTCTGGCTTCTGCACACACCCACTGCCCACCCTCGGCCCACAGTCCCAACCGGAGCCCGGCCTCTGAGAGATGGAGCAGGGTGGGAGGACTCCAGGGAAGTCAGCGGCTGGCCAGCCCCGGGAAGGTGGTTCACAAAGACCCTGCTTCCCTTCCAAGGCCCCTCGCTGTTGGGATTGGGATTGTGCTAATTTCCTGTTTGGCTAGGGCTCCTGACAGGTGGCCATTCGGAGTCAGTTCTTCAGGACTCAGAAAGGAACAGAGACCATCCAGTCTGACTTCCTTGCTATGTAGACAAGGCCGCTGAGTTCCAGAAGCAGAGGTGGCCCCCGAGCTAGATTCAGAACCAGGACTCGAGCCCCGGTCCCGCCAGCTCCCTGTGAATCAGTGTTTTGCTAAGTTTCAGGGTGATTCCGCCCAGTTTTGAGAAAAAGAAGGGGGCCTAGAACCCAGTGAAGTCCATTCCCTAAATCCTGCCCTGCTCTCTCCTCCATCTCCCTAAGACGGAAGGTAATGAGGTTACCAAATGTGACCCGGGCTGGGCAGGGGGCCCGGGACCCCTCCCCTGCAGGCTCGGCCAGCCCCCTTTTCCCGGCCAGCCGACCAGCTGTTAGAGCACGAGGCCAGGGGCTGTGTGGAAGGAGGCCCTGGAAGGAAGGGAGCACCATCACCTCAGCCCCGCCCTCTCCTTCCAGCCCTGCCCTGCCAGAATGGGGGTCCTGGGATCCCCGGGGTGGGGGGATGGCAGCTGTCCCACCAGGTGTGGTTATGAGTAACTGGGCTCTTCCCCAGCCGGCCCAAGGGAGGCCCTGGGACCCTGGGGAGGTGTGCGTGCGGCTGGGGGCAAGATGAGTCTGTCTGTCCTCCCCGTCACCTCCCCTGGGGGTGGTTCTGAATTTAGCCCCTCTGGGACAGGCAGGGAACCTGTCTATCTTTTATTCCTGCCATGGGAATCAGCTCCTAACCTTGCTCCCAAGAGAGCCGAGGCCGGCGTGTGCAGGGGCTGGGCCCCTTTCCCTGTGACTGGCTGTGAGGGGGAGCCACCTGTGTGAGGGCGCCTGCCAGCTATCAGACACTCCCGGGTGGCCCACCTGGGGGGTCGAGGTGGCTCTCCTGCTCTGCACCCTCCAGTCTGACTGTCACCCCCGCGCCACCCCGTGCCTCCCAGCTCCAGCCGGCGGCCGCCCCCTGCGCTCACTTAGAGCTGCAGATTCTTGCCAGGCCACAAGGGGGCCCAGGCAAGGTGGACGCGGCTGCTCCGAGCGCCTCTTGGCAGGTGTGGCTCGTGAGGCTTTGCCAAGCTCCTTCCTGTCCGCTCTCTTGTTTAGTTTCCTTGACAACCCTGCTAGGTAGGCAAGTGGTTGGGTAGGTGGACAGAGCAGGCACCATCCTTGCTCTGACGAAACTGAGTCACAGAGAGATGAAGGGAGCCACGGGGTCCACCTGCCACTGTCACTGGGCCTGGGCTCTCCAAGTCCCCTGACCTGGGCTCTCCCGCGAGAGTGGTGCCGTTCCTGCAAGAGGAAGGGGGCCCGGGCAGTACTCACGCCCACCCTACTCCCCAGGGGCGCCTGGCCCGCATGCCTCAGGGATTTGGGGAGCAGGGGCGTCTCTGTGGGTGGGTGGGGAGCAGGCAGGTGCTGAATGAGGCTCAGGGGTGGCAGGGCAGGGGGACTGAGAGTGACTTGGGAGTGGGCCCAAGCCCAGGGCTGCCCCCTTTCTCTCTGTTGTAATCATTTGCCCTTTTCTGTTTCTATCCCCCAAGATGATGAAGATGAGGAGGCCCCCGGGCCCTCGAGGCAGCCTCTGCGGGTGCCCCTGCAGCAGCCCGCGGAGGAAGAGGCCCACCTGGCCAGGCCCACCCTGCTCCGCTCCTCCTCCTCCTCAGACCAGTCCGAGATGGTGGGCCCCAGGCCGGAGGCCCTCCCCCGGCCCTCCCCCCAGGCCCAGGCCGCCTGCAGGACCCCTCGGCCACACCCCAGCGCGCCCAGCACAGGCCTTGACTGGCAGCTCCCCCATGCCCACGTCCAGCAGACTGAGGCGTTCCAGCAGATCTGCCGGGAGCTGGTGACCGTGCACCAGGACATGGCAAACAGCATGCACGCCATCGGCCAGACCATGGCCGAGCTGACCAGCCGCGTCGGTCAGATGTGCCAGACGCTGACAGAGATCCGGGACGGAGTTCGGGCGTCTCAGCGGGGGCCCGACGGGGTAGCCCCCACGGGCTCGACCCCTCAGGCCGAGGCGCCCCCGGCAGAGCCCCCGCAGGCTTCCCCGCCACCGGCCCCTGCACGGACTACCAGGTCTCGGAAGAGAAAGCACAATTTCTAACCCAGCCAGTCTACAGGAGGAGGAAGAGAGATGGAGGACGGGTGCCTGGCCTCGAGACGGGAGCCGGTCTCTCGTGTCTGGGACCGATGACCCCTGTAGGATACCGGGGAGACCGCCATCTCCTCCCCACGCGCAGGTCGGCGGCCCTGGGCTCCAACAGAGTGTGCATCCAGCCCCAGGCCCTCGTCTTTGGCCGATGCCGAAGATGTGGGCAAAGTTGCCTGCCTGACGCTTGCTTGTGCCGGAGCGGCGGCCTCCTCCTGGTCTGCGCCCACGGCAGCGGGCCTCGTGGGGAAGAGGGTAGCAAGAGCGGGGAGCATCTGAATGGAATCCTGCTTGCCAACCTCAGGGCTGCCACAGCTGCCTCCTGCGCCCTGGTTCTGCTGCTTCCGAAGGGGGTGAAGCCTGAGGATGGGCAGGGGGAGCCGAGCCCTCCCAGGAGGGGCCCGTCCTCTCCTTCCCCAGGGCTCCGAGCGCGGCGGGTGGTGCCCCTGCCTTGGCCTTCCGCTTGCCCCTGCGGTGCGTGTGCTCAGCTGCTGTGCTTGCCTTTTGTGTGGAATGGGGAGAAGAACGGGATGGCGTCGGAGGAAGGAGGAGGCGCCCTGGCGTTCCTAGAGCACCTTACGCTTTCCCTGCATTTGCAGATGTGTGATCTCAGTGGGTTCTCGGGACAGCCAGAGACGCGGCCACGCCCGGTCTTCCTGTCACCGTTATGACCAGCATCGCCTGCATTTCACAGATGACAGATGACACAACAGTTAGTCGGCAGGGGGCGGGGGTGGGGCGAGGGGGGGCGCCAGGCCCGGAAGCCGGGTCTGTGGATTTGCCCGGCTCCCCACCCCCGTCAGAGGCCAGATCCGGGGTTGGGAGGGGTGTTGCTCCTTGACTCTGCTCTCCTGGGTGCCCGCGGGAGGCAGCAGCAGTGTTTAGGAGGTGAGTCCCCGGCCCCGCCCTGGCACTAAGGCCGATGGCCGGGGCGCGGGGGAGAGGCAGGGCCCAAGCCTCGGCACCTGCAAGGTGACTCCTCCTCTGGCTTCTAGAAGAGCCCAGCAGGGCCCCTGTCCCATCCAAGTTCCAGCATGCCTTGCCTCCGCTTGCTTGGGCTGCATATGCATCAGCTACACACATCTCTAGCTTCACGTTTCACGTGGGAGTGCGGAGAGACAGCCAGGTTCCTCGAGCCAGCGAGCGAGGTGGGGTGGCAGTTGCAAGCTTAGCTCTGACCCAGGTGTAGCTCAGCTCTGTGTCCTCTTTGCTCCCTGGCCTGAGGCTGACCCCAGCAGAAGCTCCCCCCCGCCCCTCCCTGCACCCCCTGGCCCACCATCTCCCACGTCTGCCCCCTAGAGCCATGGTGGGGGCCGGGGGGGGCCGCTCTCCCCAGTGCCTGCTGTGGCTGTTTGTGGAGCACTGCTTCTAAACCCAGACCACGCTTTGTCCCATGTCGAGAGCGTGGGGGACACCTGCAATGTCCCTGTGGCCTCAGCTCCATCTCCCCACTCTTTGGTTCTTTGGGGGCTCCTGCTACCCCAGACCGCACACTCCCCTGTCCGACAGCCCAGTGGCTTGATTATCGCCCGGCATTCCCCTGCCCTCCAGTGCTGGAATCCAAGATTGCCTTCCCGAGTCTTTTTGTTAAGATGGCAATAAAAAGAAATTGATCTCACACTTGGAACGCACCCGGTCTCCAGGATCTTTCTTTGGTGTATATTCTCTTTCTTCGCTTCCTGTGAAAACCTCGAGGCCCCCAGAGCAGGGCTTAGATGACTGAGGGAAAGCATGCCGGCCAGAGGGGCTCCAGCGCCGTCGGCATTTCCCGAATCCCAAAGTACTCAGATGCCCTGTGTCGGGCGCCGTGCTAGCTAGCCCTGTGAGGAAAAGGACGGAACTGAGGAGCAGAGCGAGACAAAGCAGCCACGTAGGAAACCGTGCAGCCATGTTTAAAGTCTCTGCACAGCACAAGCAGGGCGTGGCTGAGTGAATTTTACCTTCTGCTCCCTAAAAATTGTTAGGGGTCCTGGAAAAAAAAAAAAGTCACCATCTCTGGCAGGAGACTCCAGAAGGGTCAGGGGCTATCCATTTGCCAGTGTACTTCAGGGACCAGCCTGAGGCATGAACTTTCTGGGGGTACACCTCCCCACTGATCCTGGTATCTGTCTGTCACAGGCAAGACCCTGTTCTCCGAGAGCTGAGGCTTTCAAAATAACCAGAGCGGGTCCTCCGGGTCCCTTTGGGAGTCTCCTTAGAAGAGAAGGGGCCTCCTAACCTGGGCATTGCCCTGGCTTACTCCCAGTCACACAGAGAGGTCCTCCCAATCCCCAAGTCCTGACCAGGGATCTATCCCCTCTCTGGAAGGTTCCAGCCCACCTTTGACCTCCTGGGACCCAGGTCATCCGATTTCTGCCACAGGCAAAGATACTGTGAAACTGGGCCCAGGGTCTTCTGCAGCCTGGTCTAGGTGCTGACCAGTGTAACTGGCAGACCCCTCCCTCTGGTCCTGGGGAGGGAAGGGATCAAGTTGGAAGCAAAGGGGACAGAGAGATGAAGAGCCTGTGAACTTCAGATGAAATTTCTGTAGTTTCTTTTTCTTGGCTTCAGTGGGGATTGTGGGTCTAGCACATCAAAACAGGAAGGCGAAACTGGGGCCAGTGGTTAGAAGTGAATGGGCAGCCAATTTTTACAATTTCCCTTGTCAGATGGGGAAGTCCCACCGAAGGGTCTGAGGCCTCCAGCCGCTGTACAGGCTGGCTGGGTGATGTTCTGTCGGAGGTTGGGTGACCCTCTGGTGGGTGGATGCATGACCCAAAGACCTGTCCAGCTCGAGACCTAAACGCATGTGAGAAAACGGAGCTCAGCCTCTTCTTGGTCACTCTTTCCCATTTCTGCCCTCCGTGACTGGTGCAGTTTCCTTGCATCAGAGACATACCCACTGAGCAGGACCATCTGAGCCTGGCCTTTCTCTGCCCCCACTCCAACAAAATGGTTGCCCCATGGGTTATTTTCTCTCTTCTGTTGGAACTGATAGTCATTTCCTGACCCAGCGAGAAAATATGGTGCATTTGATAAGGCACAGTGGGTGAGGTGTGAGAGTGTTGTCTTAGTGCTTATCTGTCCAGTACCCAGAGTCAGCAAGGAGTTCAGAATAAAAACTATCCATTCTCATCATGAAACTTTCAGTCGAGAACACATGCCCCCCCCCCCACCACTACCACCCACCCCTTTGATTGCTTCAAAGGGCGTCAACTCTGTGGGTCTGATTTGAAAAGCTATCAGATGAGCTCTATTATTTGTAGAGTGGCCTGCGTTAGCCATTTTCCACCTCCTTCTGACATACACTGTGCCTTCTCTCCAACGAAGTAGTGACCTGGAAACTCAACAGATACAGAGATTTTCACTCCCTAAGAGCCTTGTCTTCCAGGGAGGGCTCTCGGAATGGGACAGGCGTGGCTCTTCATAAAGGGATTGTCGTATGGGGACAGAAGGATTCTTGGAGTGGATCAAACCATTGGGGGTTACTGCAAAATACTTACAAGAGGGAGATCTGATTTGAGGTCATCTGTGTTGGGACTTAGCTTGGCTCCATTCAGCATCTTGAGGGGACTGGTTGTTACGATTTGCTGAGAGTTGCCAAAAATGTCATATTTCACGTGCCAAGTTTCAAAACAACCAAATATAACCAGATGCTGAACAAATTCTGATCTGTCTTGGAAGATTGTGATCACTGCAAAGATTTGGAGTTCTCTTCCTAAACCTTGATGTTTGTCGGGCGGGAAACCACCAGGAGGTAGAAAGGGAAATTGACCTGAATCTTTCTAAAGTTTCGGACGTAGTCTAGAAGTTGCTCTTTTGAAGAAATCCCTGATAGTTAGGTGTTCCTCATCTCTTTTTCTCCTCAAGTTGGATGCCAGAGAAAATAATTCTAGCTTTTAGAGCTTGATGATTGCTTAAACACCCCCCAAAAAAGAGAAGAGCGTCTCTTTCCTTGTGCTCTGTGATCCAAGTGATTCTTGTGAGGGAAGATGAATGAATGGTTTGCCTTCCGAATCTGGGAGTAGGAAACTTTGGATCTACCCCAGTTCTGTACTAACCACAAGGGTGATTAATTCTGGATGTCAAACCCCAGGCTCTCGCTAAAATTGGGGACTGGAAAATATTTTGCACATTCAGAAGGAATCTCAGATCCGGAGAAAAGCAGACCCCTGTGCTACAGAGTTGCGACTCGGAAGTATTCGTTCGGAAAGACTTCTCTAGGCCAGGGGTCCTCTTTTCCTTTCCCCAGGTTCTTCGTTAGTGGCATGACTCGGCATCCTGGATATCACAGTATTGTCTTCACAGCTCAGGGAGACCAGTGCTCATGTCTGATTCTGACAAGCGCAGATACGTTGAGGCTAAGTTCCTGGACCCAAGCAAGTTCCGAGGATCTAAGTGCCCAAAATCCTGCAAGTGTGACCCCCGCCCCTCCCCACCTGCTTCTCTAAACACGGGTGAAGCAGCCAAAAGCTCATGTTTGCACTCCTGTCCCCCTTGGCCTCACTCCCGCAACCCGGGGGTCCGCGCTGCAGCCTGTTACTGGGTGGCTTGGTCCCTGGACTCTAGTGGTCCCCCTTGTCAGGTCATGGCCTTCTCCAGGGCCGAGTAGGACAGAGTCCACAGGGGACTGTCCCCGACGACATGGGGCAGGATGTGCTCGAGGGTGCTATGCCTGAGGCTCGGCGAATGTAGATTCACAGTGTGGCTGGCCACCAGGACCACCACCAGTCCTGGAATTGGCGTTCATGTGTGTCTTTTTCTGGGGGGTGGCCGTGGGGGTAACTGCAGTAATTGCTTAACAAGGAAAACTTGGAAAATACAGAAAAGAAAATGACAGAGCAGATCCACCTGTAACGGATAATCAGTCACCGGTAAAACATTGGTATATTTCCTTCAAGCAGCTTACCGAGCGAGGCTTGTTTTTAAAGCATGGTTGGAACTGTAGAGTAAATAGCTTCCGGTCTTACTGTTCTCACTCTGCGTTCTATCAGGACAGGACCGTTTTTCCCCGCCAGGAAAGATCCATTGAAAACATTTTTCTGTAGATGAATAACATTCCATCGTACGAATGAATATACCACGGTTTACTAAGCCGTTTCTCCAATATTAGACGTTTCGATGTCTTTGCTTTTGCACTATGGTAAACAGTGATACAGGCAGGGTGGTGGTCGGTAGAGTTTGTCTACTCGGTCTGCATCTTATGGGTCCTCTTTAAATTTTCCAAAAATGGCGACAAAACGCACACGACGTAAAATTGACCATTTTAACCACTTTTTTTTTTTAACTGCACAGTTCAGCGGCATTAAGTTCGTTTACATTGTGCACCCATCACCACCATCCATCTCCAGAGCTCTTTTCGTCTTCCCCAACTGAGACAGAACACCCATTAAACCCTAATTCCCACTCCCCCGGCCCCACACGGCAGCACCCCCCCCCGCCCCCGCCACCACCGTTGGACTTTCTGTCTC